TTCTCAAGCACATACGAAATGGTCCAGGAATGTTTGCCTTGATGTGGGGTCAGGGAAAACCATGGATTCCTTTAAATATTTTCTGGGATGTTTGTGGAATGTCTTTTAGACTGCAATTTGGTCTACATCCCAGCTACATGCATGAAAACATGAAAAATGCCAGAAGCTAGTCTGGATTTTTTTGGTCTGTAATCCTTGGATACTTGATACAATATAAGGATGCCAGGATGCCAATGATCAAGGGCAGGGCCTTGGGATCAGAGGCCTCAAACACAGTCCCACCATTCCAAGGAGGCAGTTCCATCATCTCAGGGTGCTAGGAGAGAAGAGGAAACACATGATGCCTTAGCACAGGCCCTGGCACAAACATTGATGATGATTCTGATAATGATCACAATTGACCTATTAGGTTCACAGTAAAGGCTGGAAATTATGCTAATAACACCTATGGATCATCTGAGCTGCTCCCCACACTTTATGAACTAGATACTTTTAGCTCTTATTTTATAGGTCAGGAAGCTATAGCGTGAAGTGGGGAAGTACCTTGTCCAAGGCCACACAGTCTGTGGGACAAGGCATGCAGTCTGACCACACTGTACTGCACTGCTCTGGCCAATAGTAAATGGTAACAATTAGCAAAACACAATGCTACCTCTGGGGTTCTGGCAAGCAGCGTGAGCATGGGACATTCAAGCAGAAATTGCTAAATTAAAAATCAAAGCCACACGCTTTTCAGCTGTGTTAATTGTCTAGCCCACACAGCTGCAAGAGTTTTATTCATCATCGGTTGCCTGGGAAGATAACTTGACCAAAAAAATAAAGAGCCACAATAAGTTAATTATCTACAAAATTAGACTGTGCAAGCTGCTTTCGTCTCTGCTCTAACAGCCTAATCTCTCTCTCTCCAATTTCCTCCTTCTTAGGATGGACTCTGCTTGCAGAAGGACAGCACACATCCTAAAAGCTCTGGGCACACAGGTGTATGCACCCTCCTGTGTTAAATGTACCTGGATTTTGCTTTAATCAGGTATAGCAAGACACGCAGATGTGGCAATAATTGTTTCAAAGGAAGAAGGCTCCTCTTTAGTGTTTGCTAGAAGCAGGCTGCCCAGCACACCACACAGGGCCACACAGATCAACAGGGAGGCAGAGAGAGCAGGAGGAAAAATGGGTAAGAGCCTTTCTTTTGGTCCTCATGGGAATAGTGAGTGAGGATGGACATACTTGGTTTTGCCAATCAAAAGCACTTTCTAAAAAGTTGTAAATAAAAATTCAGAAGATTATTCAATTTATGATCAATAAACACCCCCCCAAAAAAAGGAAAACTACTAAAATAACACACTTAAGTAAACAAAGGTAATTGAAACTGAGTCCCTGTAGAGTCTTATTTGCAAATACTAGACATTATCAGGTCCTGGTCTCTCAGCATCCCTCCCTTGGCTTAGTTTTCTTGTCCTGAATTTATAATAACAAACCAACCTCCTATTAAAATTAACTTGCCAAATAGAGGGAGTGGTAGAGCCAGACCTACCGGCTCCATGAGTACAAGATTCATGAGGTCATTTATCTGCCCTATAGATAACATCATGATGTTCAGCCTTGTCTTGAGGGCTTTCTCAGGAAGACCATTCCTCAGCATGAAGAATCTACCACCTAACTGACTGACCCTCACTTTCCCATCATCCTCAAAAGCCCTAATGAAACAAAGAAGGGCCATTAACACTGCAGACCGTCCAGAGACTACACAAGAACCAAACACACATCTCAATCTCAACTTCAGTCAATAAGAACCTTTACCACTAACACCACAAAGAGCCTTGAAAAAAAGTAATCCCTGCCCAGCTTCTTCCACTCAGATAAATATCTATTTTCTTCATTACACATACATCAGAGATTGGCTTACTGCACATGAAGTGAATGAACCTAGGGTTTGCAGGTTCCAAAACATGATTATATTATAGAATGAGATTATATTATGTAATTTTATAATTGGTCCGGATATTTATGGATAGCATTTTTAAGTTATGTCAAAGTACATAAACCAAGTATAAGAATGGCAATATAATTGGGATAAATATATCAGAAGAGGTTGCTCTTTGGAGGGAAAGGAAAAGAATGGGCCTAGAAAGGAAAATACATATTTTAAAAAAACAAAACTTGAGAGAATAAACTTTTACATTTGTTCATTTTGACAGTATCATCATTCTTCATTACTTTTTCACACTCTAGGACTCACCTTTCTGAATATTAATAATTCAGGGAAATATTTTCTAAGTATAAAAAAGATCTAATAAAAAAATTAGTATCTTCACTGGTCAATAAAATAATTACCAGCTCATGCTCCCGGCCATTTACAAATAATCGGGAGCAGGAATTTGACACAGCAATTAAGATGTCATTTAGTGCCCCCATATCTTTCATCAGAGTGTCTGGATTTGAGTCTTGGCTCCATAACTGATTCTAGTTTCCTGGCACTATGCACCATGAGAGGCAGCAGATTATGGTTCAGATAGTTTGGTCTTTGTTATCCATGGGGAACCCAGCTGGAGTACTCATCTCCTGACTTCAGCTGGGCCCAGTCCTAGCTGTTGTGGGCCTTTGGGGGAGTGAATCGGAGATTAAAGATTTCTCCTCTCTCTCTCTCTCTCTCTCTCTCTCTCTCTCTCTGTCTCTTTCTCTCTCTCCATTTCTAATGTTCTCTCTGTAGCTTTGAGGTGGACAATGATGATGGTGTGGATAGATAGCTAGATAGAGATGAAGTAAGTTTTGGAAAAGCCATGTCCTATCCTGATCTTAAATGTCCTCTCTTGATCTTTTAGGCAAGGGCATCAGAAGCATTGGAAAGCGGATGGCTGAATGGCTGCTATGACTTCTGACTTATTCCAGTTGACTGTGCATCATATCTTCAAGGGGGTTTCTGTGTGGAATCTGCACTCTGGTCTTGGAAGCTTCAAGTAGGGACTGTTCATTAAACAGCTGAGCAGGACTTGGCATGCTTAGACACGTGGGCAGATCTTGCACTTCCTGCTTTCTTCTGCTCACCTGTTTGGCAAGACATCTTTACCCAGACATTAGAGAAAGTCTTTCATTGGAAATGACTCAAAATTCTATGGCACTGATGCTCTATGTCATATGTCTTTAGTACCTTGAATGCTCTCCCCATTTTGAATTGTGGGACATTCTAGAGAGTGGAAAGATTTTTCTGAGCCTAGTTTTATTTTAACCTAATTGTTTCAGAGTTTGCAAGCTATTTGGAATAAATGTTTAAGTTAATTTATATTTTCATAACAACCATGTAGAAATCAAAGTGGATAGACTTATTGAAATAGTCTGTATGTTCTCTCCTTTTTATTTTTTGGAAAATGTAGCGATTAGCTTTTCCAAATAATACCACAGTCAGACAAGTGCAATTAATCTCTGTGCCTTGCTAGTAGAATCCTGGTAGCCAGCAAGCAGTCAGAGAACTCCTTACCTGTGAGCAAGATTCTTACAGTGTCTAATAATACAACTCAATCAATCATGGGCTCGTCATTAGAGTGATATAAATGTTTTTAACCTAAAAGGGTAACATTGCTTTTTTTCTTAACGCTCTGTTTTATAAAAGTTCTCATCATGAAACTGCTTCTGGATGTGTACGGATTGGGCAAACTCAGATATGATTACAGGGAGGGAGGGAAACAAATGCGGAGCGTTTTTCTCTTACCCTTTCCTGGAGGGCTCAGTTCTGACACAGGGCTGCTGCTTGGCAAAACCACAAGAAAAACTGCCTGAAGGGGCTGCCTCTGTGTGTCCGTCTCCCTTCTGCTCCTGTGCTGCTGTCCAGTATGTCATTCAGAGTGACTCATTAGAAACCCAGGAAGAGTCCATGGCTTCCCAAAGATCCTTCCTCCCTCCCCTGCAGCCAACTTTTTTTTTAAAGGTTTATTTATTTTTATTGTAAAGGCAGATTTTCAGAGAGAAGGAGAGACACGGTTGGTTCACTACCCGAAAGGCCACAATGGCCAGAGCTGAATCAATCCAAAACCAGGAACCAGGAGCCCCCTCTTGGTCTCCCATGTAGGGTCTCAAGGCTTTTAGCCATCCTCCATTGCTTTCTCAGGCCATAAGCAGAGTGATAGATAGGAAGTGAAGCAGCTGGGACACAAACCAGTGCCCATGTGGGATTGCTGGCACTTGCAGGCGGAGGATTAGCCAGTTGAGCCATCACGCACCCCTCCCCCACCCCCTGCTGCCGGCCAACTTCTGTTGTCCCGGTTCTGAGGTTTTTAGATGTGAACACTGGGATGAAGTACTTTCTCAAGCACTTGTTAATGATCAGTGATGACTCTACCTAAGTTTATCTGCAGAGGACAAGGCCTCAGATCTGTCTGCTGTTTCTCTGACAGCTCTGTGGGCCTCCTTCCATGTCCTATGTATCCTGGTAACTGCAGCAACACAAAGTAAATCTGCAGCCAAATCCAGACAGCCAGCACTGGCAAACCTACCGCGACAGTCAGCCTGACCGACATGCCCAGGAATGGGAGCCCAAACGCTGGGAAGTACGAGAGTGGCAAAGGACCACTGTACTATATACGTTGAGGAACCCTCATCTCTTATGTGACTGTCACCAGAAACGACACAGAATAAAAATAAAGAGTCCACCATATCCCCCAAAAATGTTATAAATATGCATATGCATACATACATAAATAAGCCACACTGACTTTGTCTCCTTGAGTGTGTCAGAGTACACAGCATAAAAAAAAATGTAGATAAATTACAATACTGGAAGAACACTTTCCATGGCTCAAAGCCCTGAGAACACTTTGGATGTCATAACAATTCCACAAACTCCTCCAGGCTTTCAGAAGGGATTATCCTGGGCAGGGGCAGGCAGACCCTGTCTAGTTACTGATAGGCTGGCCGCACAACATTTCTGTTTGTTTTTTTCACAAACAACATTAGAAGACTTACACCAACATTTGTAAGCAATAACAAAGAATGAGGAAAATATTTTGTAAGAGACACGGGAACATTTTATGAAGTTGCATGTCACCCTTGCACAGGGTCATGCTAATCTTCTCTGTATTGTTCTAATTTTAGCATATATGCTGCCAGAGTGAGCATGAGGAAAATATTTTCAAAGTGGATATCGAAAGATGAAACTGCTCTTGTTCAGAAAATGCAGTCAGGCATTGTCCTGGAATCCGGGTTGAAGCTTGCATATCTAACGTCCGTTGGCTTGCAAAGCAACAGTTACAGACCGCAGAGCCTGGCTTGGAGCACTAAACCCAAAGGAAATCCAGTGGGAAGAGGAGGGTGTAATACATATACAGATGTTTGCATCGAGGCTTTTTGTGTCCCTGTAGGAAATACGTACATGAAAAAGACCTAAGAAATGGGCATGGATTTGACCTCACTCTTACACTTTCTGTGGAATATTCTAGTTTCCTTTGGTAATATGTGTGTGTGTACATGGATGGCGAGTAGCTAATCATAGACTAATCTATGAAGTGAATACAGATGTTAAAGGGTTTGATGGATATTATTTGCCTCTGTTAGAAAGTCATGGTTTCCCAATTCCCACTGCAACTTTTTATTTTGTGAGTAAATAATCACCTAACAGAAATTATTAGGGAACAGTAATATAATTTCTACTGCTTCTTTTATGAAAATGAGAGAGAGAGAGAGAGAGCGACTGGGAGGGGACTCAGAACATCCCACCCTGAGCCATGCCATCCTGGCATATTGATTACTTTGAGCTGAAAACTACTGAGGCACAGGAGATGCAGGAAGAACTTGCCCCCTTGCCACTCTCCATCTTAAATCAGGGCATATATTTCCTACGAGAAAGATGAACTTTCTGTACATTCTTATCAAGGATGAGGACCTACATCCTTAGCAAGATGAGTCTACACAAATAAACCATACTAAAACTAACCCTCGCGGGAGTTCCTTCCTTTCTCGCTCCTCCCCGCCATCTTGACAGGTACACTAGGTTGGAGGTCCGCCCCCCACCTCAGGCAGGAAGCTGGTGGTCGCCAAGAAGAAGAAAAAGTCGCTGGAGTGCATCAACTCGTGGCTCCAGCTGATGATGAAGAGTGGAAAATATGTGCTGGCCTACAAGCAGTCCCTGAAGATGATCCGACAGGGCAAGGCGAAGTTGATCATCCTAGCCAATAACTGCCCGGCCTTGAGGAAATCTGAACTAGAGTATTACGCCATGTTGGCCAAAACTGGTGTCCATTACTGCAGTGGCAATAACATAGAGTTGGGCACAGCGTGCAGGAAGTACTACAGAGTGTGAACTCTCTATCATTGACCCAGGTGACTCTGATATTAGTAGAAGCATGTCAGAACAGACTGGTGAAAAGTAAATCCTGAAATTTTTTCTTTAATAAAAACTGCCAGAGCTTGTGTTAAAAAACAACAACAACAACAAAAAACTAACCCTCATCTCCCATCACTTTACCCCCATATATTTCCTGGTTATTTTCCTATAATTTGCCATTGAGAGCCCCAATCTCCTTTCCTCTGTCTTGCTATGCCTGTGACATAGTCTGTTCTTTATTAGAATGACACATAGGCTCACAAGTAATTCTGTGACGTTCCTTCTGCAGGCAATAATATTTATATCAAATAAAACTCATAGGCTTATAGAAATCTAGGTGTTAAAGAAATGTACCTCAGTCAGTACCATAAACACAACATATGACAAATCCATAGTTAACATAGTTTAAACAAGGAAAAAGTGAAGCTTTTTTTTTTTTTTCAAAAATCTACAATAGTGGGCCCAGCGCGATGGCGCAGTGGTTAAGGTCCTCACCTTGCACGCCCCAGGATCCCATATGGGCACCAGTTCTAATCCCGGCAGCCCCACTTCCCATCCAGCCCCCTGCTTGTGGCCTGGGAAAGCAGTCAAGGATGGCCCAAAGCCTTAGGTTCCTGCACCCGTGTGGGAGATCCGGAAGAGGCTCCTGGTTCCCGGGTTCGGATGGGTGCAGTACCGGCCATTGCGCTCACTTGGGAAGTGAATCATCGGATGGAAGCTCTTGCTCTCTGTCTCTCCTCCTCTCTGTATATCTGACTTTGTAATGAAAATAAATAAATCTTTAGAAAAAAGAGAGAGAGATATACCAACGGCAAGCAAGCATATGGGAAGGTGCTGTACAGCATGTCACCAAGGAAATGTAAGCTAAAACTGATGCTGTGCTACCACTTCACCCATACAAGAATAACCACAATCTAGAACCCCGATGATCATTCTGGTGGAGATCAACGGGAATTCTCACTTGTGGCTGACAGGAACACAGAATGGTGCTGATAGCTTGGAAAGAAGTTTTATGGTTTCTTGGAAAACTGAATAATATAACTCCCAGCAATTGTGCTCCTTGATATTTACCCAAAGAAGCTGAAACGATGGTTTGTGCTTCCCATTAGCGAGAAGCTGGATCAAAAACAGAGGAATCGGGATTTGAACTGGCACGACAATGGGCTGTGCCACAACATCTGCTCCAACCAACCATCTGATCAATAAGCAACTATTTCCTAGAAATACTGTTGTGTCTTTAATCTCACAACTTCCTGGTTCTAAGTTGTAAAGTAAGGTAAGATTTTGCCAGAGTTCAGTTTCACCTCGGTTTTCCCTGCTGCTGATTTCTCAGATGAATAAAGCATGCCGGTCTTCTCCTTGAACATGTAAGCAGAGATTATATTTCTATATTTTAATGATATTTTCTTGTAGTTCAGAAAGATGTATGAGCTAAGATTCCTATGGATCTGAAAAGTAAATTTTTCTAACAACTTCAAAGCTTCCCCTCAGCTATGTATCAGAGTAGAGAGCTTATTAAAGAAAATGAGTTCTTGGGTACATAGAGTAATAACCTCATTAAAAGTGTTACAAGAAGCAAATGTAGGCAGAATGCAAAGAGTAAACAAGATAATTTGGAAATGACCTAATCTACTTTGCTACATTTAATAATAATGTGTGTAAACTCTCTACACTTTTCTACTAAGACATTGGACTATGGGGATGGGAATGTTTTAACAAGCATGAGTTTCAGAGCCACACCAGCAGGTGCAACAAATTCCCTAAAAGGCACAGCAACAAAGTATGGGAGCTACAGTGGGGATTATGTAGCAAAGAGCCCTGAATTTCAAAACATAGGCCATTTAATATCGGTGAAATCTTAACTTGCTTACTTCTCTGAATCTCAATTTCTCGATCTATAAACAGATTGAGAGGGGGATACAGATATTATCCTGATAATGTAGCCAACAGAATGGAACAAGATGATATGCACTAAGTTGTTTGTAATTTCATCCCTGGTACAAAATAGATATTCAATAGACAACACACTGCTGGAATAGAAACCTCAATAGGTCAAAACGCAATAGGTCAAATGGTGGCTCACTTCTCTCATTTGAATGGTCCCACACTGTTGAGTTATTGGGTGGCATTGTCCTGAAATTGAGATGAACACCTCTGTCATTTTTTTTAAACCTTTGTTTATTTAGTTTAAAGGCATAATGACACACAGAAAGGAGAGATCCTCTATCTCTTGTTTACTTCCCAGATGTCTGCCACAGACAAGACTGGACCAGAATGAAACTGGGAGTCAGGAATCCTCTCTGGGCCTCCCGTGTGGATGTAGGGTCCTCACCCATTGCTTCCCAGGCATATTAGCAGGAGCTGGATCACCATCAGAGGAGCCAATACTTGAACCCATACACGGATATGGGATGTGGACATACCAAGCAGTGACTTAGCCCACTCCCACTCCATTTCCGCTGTTTTTGTCATTCTTTGAAGGATGCTACTGCAGTTGTAACCATTATCCAGCCACCAGTGCAAAGAGGGAAAGTAGCACATCCAGCAAGCAGTTTTACACTTCTGGAGATGATGTCACTGTGGCCCACACTATTTTTACTCACATTTTATCGGCAAATCTTGATCTTTTTCAGGCCACATCTTGCTGCAAGGGATAAAGAAAAGCTGGGCAGCCACATAACCAACCAAAACTCAGGTTAGCAGTTGTAGCCATAGCAAGCTTATGGCAGCAAACACATCATAAAGGACACTTTAGTGAAGCTTTTAGAATGAAAGAGGCATACTGCCAAGTTCATGACTATCTTGAAAGGGGGTATAATTCAGCAACAAGTTAATTCCAGAGATCACCATTTTCACTCACCTATACAATTTAGCAACATTTATCAGTTGTCGAGCCTAAGGTCTTCCACATGCAGATGCAAATAGACATATACAGCCAAATACAGAGCATCAGGCTGCTTTGGTCTGATAATGACTGTATTGTTGGGTTGACCATGAACTGAAGGGAGTTTCAAGATCTCATTCAGCCATCTCCTGAGGCTGCTTGCAGTGCATCCTACAGCAGGTTCTTTATTAAATCCTTCTTTGTCCCTGGGCATCTTTACACTTGATTAAAACTCTTGCTGTGGCAAGCCCTTGTGCCACAACCTCCTTGTAAGATCTTACAATCCTGCTCCCTGGGAAGTTGAGCCAGTCTCTTTAGACCCCCAGCTGCCAGCTAGGGCTCTTGCTGCAAAAAACCAAGACTGTAAGTACATCATATAGTCTCTAGCTGCCATTGTCTCCTTAAGAGAATCTACCCACACCACCAAGTCTGTGTCCACACCTCGATCCAGCATCTACATGTTTTGCAAACTTCTATACAAAGTGAAAGCTCTTATTCAAAAATTAAGGATTTCATGACAGTGACATTAGAATATCTTAACTCAAGTGTGAAGAACCCTAAGAGAAGAGCCCTGTGCAAATGTACATACAGGTCACCTGCCCAGCAGCTCTGTTTATGCAAGTAAAGCCTACTCCCCTGGTACAACCACATCAAGCAAGGTGCATGGGATTCTCTCTGGAGAATTGGAACTAAACAGCCAGAGCAGTGTAGCTCGATGGGGCTGAGCAGTGAGCTCTAAGTTAAGGAGGCCTTAGAGCTGGTAACGATACATTTCCCTAACTCCAGAAAGCCAAGTGTAGGGAAATGTAGCAGTATTAGGTGAGATTTCTGTGACTACAGAAAGGGAGACAAGCTTTCTGACTCACATTGTCACATTATTGGGAGACCTGATTCTGTAGATCACTTTCCTGT